TGCTCCTGATATTGACATGTATCTTCTTTCTTCTTCTTGATTTGATTTTGTTTGGCAATCAGTCACAGTTGACTATTTTTGCCACACACTATTTTATGAATTATTTATATATATGCATATGTACAATTTCATGTCATAAATGACTATTATTAGGATTCTTTCTCTTTCCATCCCCTTTCCTTCTGCTTATTTTCTTTTATATTTTTGTTTTTGTTTTCAATAAATTAATAATTTTGGAAAGAGATGACCTAGCAAGTTGTACGTACTTGTGTTTACGCGCACATGCGCGCTCAAATAATCACCCACACCCTTTTCAAAATGCCATCTTACCAGTCTTTGAGGTACATTTCGCAGACTTTCGGTTGTAACCTAGGTCACTCCGGCATAGGTGAGGGGGTGCCAGCTGGCATGTGATGCTGGAGGCGACCACCGAATTGTTAGAAATTTAAATGGTCAAATTAGTTACAAGTATTGTGGGCTTTATTGGTGCAAGAAAAAGGAAAAGAGAAGATAAGAAAGAAAAAAAAATTAATTGTTTTGATACTGCCGCTTTGTTCTTCAAACGAAGCGAACTATTGCTTTTTGTTTAATTATTTCTGAAATGTTAAGTAGTGTCATGATTTAACATAGCTCTTTCTATAATGTACTTTGGGCATTCAGTGAGAAAGTGGTATACAGTTTCAATATGTCCTATGCAGTTATTGCAATGGCCTGTCGAGTGTATATTCAATCTGAAGAGATCTAAGTTCAAACCTATCACTCCTATTCTTAATCTATGGAGAATACTTTTTTCAAATCGGTTCAGCTTACATAAATATGGTTGATTTACTGTAGGCAGTATCTGTCTAAGAAAACTATCAGAATTATTCCATCTGTCTTGCCAGAGTTTTATATACTTGCTGGTAATAATACTCTTTATTTCAGAAAAGGATAATTTATTACAAATTTCAATGTTATTGGCGTTAGGTCCAGGGGGCCGAGAACCCAGGAGCTCAGGGGTTTAAAGTATATTTTGCATAAAAATCTGCCATTTCATTTCCGTGTACACCACAATGGCTAGGAATCCATTCTAAGTGTATGTGTTTTCCTTGATACGATAATTTTGTACTTAATGTAATAATTTCAGTTACAAATGTAATAGCTTTTTCATCCTTTATAGCGAGCAGGGCGCTTATGGAGTCACAAAAAATAACAATGCCAACATACACATTAAGGTTCTCTAGCCAATTAAGCGCAAGGAGAATTGCAGCCAGTTCGGCTCTAAAAGATGATGTGTGATCCGCCAATCGTTTTGCTTGTTGAAAGGAAAAGTCTGGTACATAAAAAGAAGCAGAACTTATTCCAAGATTTGGAACCTTTGACCCATCTGTATAGATGTGTAGTTGTATTGGCCATTTGGTACTGATCAATTCTAAACTGCGTTGAAGTAAATGAAATGGGTTTTCATGTTTGTTCACTATTTCGCTTAATTCTATCGACACGTTTGGAGCATTAATTTTCCAAGGGGGGGGGGGAACTAGATATAGTGAAGGGTTCGATAGTATACAATGTTTGATAAGTTCTGTTCTGCATCCAAATTGCTTGTTATTCTATTGGAGCTTCAAAAGTTCCATTTGCCAGCTGGGCTTAACGTTTAATATGACAGGGTGATCTCGATGCATTTCAATCTTTTGTCTGAATCTGTCTGCCAGTAGGTATCAGTAGGCAGCTGGGCTTGGCTTCTCTCAAGGCACAATAATTTTTTGATAAAGTGTCAAATTAGGGTCTGCGCTTGCAGAATAGGTGTAGGGTGGGGAGAGGGCAGCGAATTTTTTTTCCGTACTCGAGAGAGCAAAAATCCCATGTGCGCATGCGCGTGGACTTATGATTTCTCTGCTACTTCCCATACGAAATGTACATGTATTCGCATGTACTGTGCACGATTCGCGTTCTACGAGTAAACGATGGCATAGTAGTCTTCAAACACAGACTCTGATTTGCCAGTTTGACAAATCAATATGCGTATGTGTCGCGATGTGCTTATTCAAGTCTGTGTAGTTGTATGATTCAGACCCAGTAGTGCATATGGAAATACATTGCAACTTGTATAGAATGGTATAGTAGTCTGCAAGCACAGACGCTAATCTGACAGTTTGACAACATACTAGTAGTGTGCTGAGAAGTACTTTATTCAAGTCGCCAACTTGTATAGAATGGTATAGTAGTCTGCAAGCACAGACGCTAATCTGACAGTTTGACAACATACTAGTAGTGTGCTGAGAAGTACTTTATTCAAGTCTGCGTAGATGTATGATTCAGACCCTACTGGTGCGTGCGTTAGAAATGCATCTCAATGTGTAGAGTGTAGTATAGTAGTCTGCAACGAAAACTTGAATAAAAGCACTACTCAATACACAATAGGCCTATATTATTCTGTCAAACTGTCAAAGGAGAGTCTGTGCTTGCATACTACTATGCCACTCTATAAGTTGAGGTGCATTTCCAATACACGCACCAGTAGGGTCTGAATCATAAAACTACTCAGACTTGAATAACACTATTTTGTCAAACTGTCAGATTAGCGTCTGTGCTTGCAGACTACTATGCCACTCTGCAAGTTGAGATGCCTTTCCAATACACGCACCAGTAGGGTCTGAATCATAAAACTACACATATTTGAATATAAAGCACTACTCAAGACACTATGTTGTCAAACTGTCCGATTAGCGTCTGTGCTTGCAGACTACTATACCATGCTATTCAATTTGGGATGCATTTCTGTAAGCACTAAAATGTCTGAATCATACAACTACTCAGACTTGAATACTAGTACTATTGCTACGCACGATATATGCGTAATTGTTTTGTCAAACTGGCAAATCAGAGTCTGTGTTTGAAGACTACTATGCCATCGTTTACTCGTAGAACGCGAATCGTGCACAGTAGATGCGAATACATGTACATTTCGTATGGGAAGTAGCAGAGAAATCACAAGTCCACGCGCATGCGCACATGGGGTATTTGCCCTCTCGAGTACGGAAAAAAAATTCGCGAGAGGGCATGGGGGCTGCACCACCAAAAAACTTTGAAATTCGCCCCTACTTACGAATAGGCCATTTTCGTCCCAACCAATATAACCAAATTAAATGCAAATGCCTTGGGGCTTATACTAAACACTCGGGTCGCGGCGCGCTGGAAAACATTCGGGTCACGGCTTGCTGCTTCCAACTTCGTTTTAAAGTAAATTTCCCCACGCACCCCCATTGAAAAATGGTTAAAAATAGTCGCTAATCTAAAATAAGAATTTACCAGCTCGAAGGGCCGATTTGAAGACACTATTAGTATTAAAAACAAAAATGGCCCAGCCAGCCGTGACCAGAGTGTTTTCCAACAAGCCGCGAACCGAGTGTTTAGTATAAGCCTGCCTTCATGTCTGACCATTAATAAGGGAATGAGCGTCCGTTCAAGATAAACGTCCGTGCGCGCGTGCTCATGTAATACATAGCATATATGGGCAACAACATGCCTACACAAAACCCTTATGACTCTTTGGGATTGACGGGAACCCTCAATTCTTTTTCATATTCGGTTAGAGTATGAGTCGGAGATGTGATTCCATGTCTCATTTTGACATTAAGTATATCTTGTCATCATCATAATTGACCTTGGAACACTGTGCGCTTAGAAACATCAGTATTAAGCGCCTAATAAATGTTATGTATTATTATTATTATTATTAAAATACGAATTTGCATATTATGACGTCAGCATATTTATGGAAAATTGATTGATTCTCTTCTTAATGTTAATATCTTGTAGTTGAGGCAATTGTCTACAAGTTAACTGCATATTATTATTAACAGGCTTATAACAAATCTGTCAACACTTAAATGTCTGGAATGGAATGAAGAGCCATTTTATTGCTTTGTGACGATTTACATTCACCTAAAATGTAATTAAATTGTAATAATATACTTGGGAGAATTTAGGAATCGATCAGATCAGTTTTTCCCAATTTATACAATGAATAATGGTCCGTTTTCACTCAAATTTTCAGATTATCTTTAATTGTACATCTAGCATTGAAGTCAATACCTAAGCACCACTGTCTCTCATCTGAACAATGTTACTAAGTCCCTTTAAATGGGAAAGGACCCGATAGGATGCGAACGCTTATGTATTTTGATTGGCAAGTGTGCGCTTGTAAAATGGCGCCTGCCAGATTACCCCTTACCCCTTACCCCCCCCCCCCCCCCCCCCCCCCCCCCCCCCCCCCCCCGAAGTTGAACGTATGCACTATCATGTGCAGATTAGCAAATGAATCCAATGACCGGGGTAATCATTACAATGTAAACGCTTTGAATATCCACATTTACTACGCAGTATTGGGCGCTATACCAATGTGACTTTTATCATTAGTACTATTATTTTTTTTATAATTATTATTATTACAATTATCATCATCATTATTATCATTATTAATATCATCATTATCATCATTATTATTACTATCATTATTATCATAATCGTTATTTACATAATCATTTTTTTTTTTTTTATGTATACTTACCTGTAGCAGTTATTCTGGAAGGCTGTCCACAGAGGAGGACACCCACACCCTCCGGCTTGGCAGCCCGGTAGGACCGGCAGCATCACAGCTGACGATGCGATGACCAAGATCGTGACTATCTTGTTGAACATTTTGGCTACAAATAAACGTCTGTCTTTTAGCAAGTTTTCACATTAAAAAAAAAAGTTTTTAATATGACGGATGTTGGCACTAAGATAACGAAATTTAGCAAATCCGCTCCAGTTAAATGGACTAATTTCCTTTGTTTCTCTCTCTTCGTGTCTCTCTCTCATACATACATATACTCTCTCTATCTGCCTATCGTTCTATCTCTCTCCCTCTCGTCTATCAAATATCCCTATCTCTTTCTTCACACATTCATAATTTAGGTCGAACTATTTTTCTACTTTGATTGGATTCTTAAAATGATACATCTGATTAGCCAAACATTTTGTAATCTTACAGGCAATTTTATTTTATTATGTCAACTTTGTAAAGGATATAAAACGGGGTTGTTTACAAATGACTCTTACCAAAGTAGTAGTTTACGCACATTACCAATATGGTATTTTACAAACAACATGAATATGGTAGATTAACACACATTGCCACTGTGGTATTTTAAACATATTACTAGTGTGTTCGATTACACACGTAACTAATGTGGTCGTTCACATCTAGTATTACCATTGCAGTACCTTAAACACTCCAACATTGTGGTCGTTACACATATCACCACTGTGGTAGTTTATACACATCACCACTGTGGTAGTTTACACGCATTACCACTGCGGTAGTTTACACGTAATTATACTGTGGTAGTTTACACATATTACCATCGTGGTAGTTTATACACATTCCCACTGCGGTAGTTTACCCATATTACCACTATATTACTTTAAACTTATTCCCACTGTGGTTTACACTTCTTACTGCTGTTTGTCGTATACACACATTACTACTGTGAGCGTTTACACATATAACCACTGATGTTGTTTACACACGTCAACACTGTGGCAGTTTACACCCATTACCACTGTAGTCGTTTACACACAATCCCACTGCAATAATTTAAACACTTCGACATTGTGGTAGCTTTAACAAATACACACATTGCCATTTTGGTAATTTACACAAAAATCCACATATAAATCCATGTATCCATATATCCTTTTCCTTTTTTATTATCATCTACGATCTGATTTAGACTTTCTCTCTTTCTATCTTTTCTTCACTGCTCTACCCATCCCCTCTGCCTACCTAACTTTGGTCCTCTTCAACTCATCCTCATTGTACGAAACGTATTTCATGTAAATTACCCAACTAAATCTGTTGTGAATTTAGTTATTTATTACTGTAAATGATTATGATTTTTTTTTCCGTAAATTTATCTCAGTAGGTCTTGCCAATCAAAAAAACAATCCGAATGGACAATTAATACTTAATTTCAATGTTATTTTCAATTTTTGGTAATTTACACACATTACCACTGTGGTAGTTTACACACATAAGCTGACCCATGGTATGCAGTGTCGCCGTCAGAATCACAAGCAAGATCATTCCACTTATATTTGTTGGACGAAAAGAACATGACGCAGTCCTGGTTTCCATTATGGCTGCTAGGCTGTCCTGGCTCCCAGATCTCATAGTCTAGACTCGAGCCGTCACTCCATTCCCAGCTATCTTCCGTAGTCTGGTCATGCAGACCGATCCATACATAGGTAGTGGATGTAACCTATTAACAAAAAAGTGTGTAGCATTTATTTAAAAGGGGATAAAGCAAGGAAAGGGTGGGGAAACAAGAGAGAAAGGGTATGAAAGAGAGAGAGAGAGAGAGAGAGAGAGAGAGAGAAACCAAATAGGGAAGTTCATACCGTATAGGGTGATACAATAGAATAATTATAGAGAATGCCTTGTATTTCAATATTAATACGTATAAAGCAAATATAAATTATCAAAAATGGGGAACAACATCAAAATTTAATAGGCATATGGAAACTTACTACCATATACCCCTATTCGATCTGAACGCCATTTCTAGATTGATTTTGATTTTAGAATTAACTAGAGCCCTGATCAGCACACAGATCTTTCTCTTTAATTACTGGCTTGGACTGTGCCTTTGCTTATACTCGATTATACGTCCGTTTGCATTATCATTTTAGAAGTCATATTTGTTTCAATCTTGCCATTTCATTATCAATAACGAATCTATGCAGATCGGTGGCTAACATGAAATTTGTTGCAAAACGTTTCCGTCATCTTCACTCATGATCCATTTCCCTTTCTTTCCGGAATTTCTTCGCCATTCTCTTCTATATACAAGAGCACCTTACACAAACTTATTCTTAATGAGATTTACGCTTTCTTCCTTTTATAGTTAGTTACTATGCATTTTAAACCCATTAACATCTTTAAATGTAATTTGAATACTTTGTAAATGTGAGGAAAAAAGTGGAAGAAATTAAATTCTTCTTTGAACAGAGAAGGGAAATGCAATGCGTACCAATTTACTACGAAGGCTTTCATGAAGCACCGAAAGAAAGGTCATCTCTTCTTTCGAATGGATAGAAGTGAGGTGTCCAAGGCTGATGGTAGAGTCAACATCAGAACAAGGAACGGAGAAACCAGAGCAGTGCATCTCAGCTCCAAGCCAAGTAATGTTTTTCACCGAGAAATACCTAGCGAGAAATTAGGAAGATGACAATATTTCATATGAATCTGAAAGATTTTTGTTCTAAACTTACAAATTTAAATCTGAAATTTAAGTCTAAAATTATAGTGCCAGAACTCTACCCACTTATTGGCAAGCTTGCTGCACCCTTCTTACATTAATCAAATATAACAAGATACTTCGTCATAACAAAACGAGATAGGAAACAAAGAAATACATCGATAAAATGGTTAAGGAGTTAAAATAAAAAATATGAATAAAAACACATGAAATGATGTAGTGAGTGTACTTAGGGGTTTTGGAATAAACACACTCATAAGAAATTAGCCATATCCAAAAGTAGAAAAAGCAAATGCACTGTACACGTAAGTGCTACGCTGGTGGCAACACTGCTTGGCCGAATAAGCCATTTCGTGTCATTTTGAATATGAGAGCGAGAGCAATCCTTTTCATACACATTTCTGTATTTTCCAAACAGACATAAAAAGAATGACAAAGCCTAAGATTATTCTTCGATATTACAAGAACTCAACGTTCTCTTGAAAACTGAAAATTTATAGTCTCCTGATCTATAGAGGTGTCGTGGTCTAGTGGATACGTCAATTTAGATCCCCCTGGTTCGCGGTTCGAGTCCCACCACGGTACTAATGTCCTTTGACAAGACAATAATCTACATTTACCAGGTATTAAAGTGACTCGGTAACATTGTTGAAGGTTGATGACAAAATTGCTTAATTTGTGTATAAAATGTTACTTACTATATTCCTTTTACTGTACTAACCCTCTGACAAGCAGAAAATCCTGAAAAAAAAATCTCAAACCACGAAGATATCTATGGGTTTCTTTGAAGGCGTCAATGTATGACACCCTCTAACAGTGATTAACAGTAAATTCTCCCAACCATTTTTTAATTTTCCCAACCGTTTTTCCATGAAAAAAAAGACATAAAACAGGCTATAAAAAATCTGTCAACACTTAAATGTCTGGAATGGAATGTAGAGCCATTTTATTGCTTTGTGACGATTTACATTCACCTAAAATGTAATTAAATTGTAATAATATAGTTGGGAGAATTTAGGAATCGATCAGTTTTTCCCAATTTACACAATGAATAATGGTCCGTTTTCACTCAAATTTTCAGATTATCTTTAATTGTACATCTAGCATTGAAGTCACTACCTTAGCACCACTATCTCTCATCTGAACATCCACATTGAACATTGAATATCCACATTCACTACGCAGTATTTGGCGCTATACCAATGTGACTTTTATCATATTTAGTACTATTATTTTTTTTATAATTAGGTGATACGTACGTAGACGTATCACCTTTTGATTTCGTCAAGATTTTTATTATTTATTTATTTATTTATTTATTTATTATTATTCTTCCTCGAATTTGTTCGCAGGATATCTCAAGACTGAATAAAGCCATTATCATGAAACTTGCCATGATGATAGATCTTAGTCTAACTTAGAACTGCGTGACTTTTCAAAGACTCAAAATTATCGTGACGTCATCCAGGCGCCATTTTGTGAAAATAAACTTATGATCATATCTTCATAACGGAAAGGAATTTTTCATTCATATTTATCAGGAAGAAGATCAATATCCATCCGGTCAATTTCAGATCAATAAACGTGCGCAAATGCGCGCGTGCGCGTTCGTACGCGCGTTTACGCGCGCGAAAAAAATTAAAATGCTCCAAATCATCCCAAATTTTTTTTGCATACGTTTCAGGCCATATGGAGCATTTGACAAAAAATCACGCAAACGCGCATGCGCGCGCGTTTTTTGCGCGTACTAGCATTTTGCAACATAGAATCGCCGAATGTTCTCTATCATCATATTTGGTACATCTTTCCAAGCATTTTGATAACTTGTTCACCTTTTAATAACGCAATGAGCGTCCGTCAAAGTTGACAGCGCGCGCGGACCTGCGTTATCTTTATCCACAATACATGAGCAAAAACATGTCTATACAAAATTCTTTGTAACTCTTCAGAATAGATAGAAACTCCCAATATTTTTTCATATTTAGATAGGTTATAAGTTGGAGATATGATTTCATGTCTCATTTGACCCTCAATTAACTCATAACGTCATCATAATGGCCTCCAAACTCAAAATTTCAATTTGCATATTATGACGTCAGCATAATTTTGGAAAATTGATTGTATCTCTGTAAATATTGATTGATTTTCTTTTAAATTTTGATATGTTCTACCTGAAACAATTTTCTACAAATAAATAATCCACAATTTTCCATTTTGACAAAGGCATCATGGCGTATTTTTGCAATTAAAGAAGGCATGTCAATTTTTCACATTTTACGTGTATTCTCTAAGGGACATGACTTTTTCTCAAAACTGGATTCTACACTCCTGTCTTTCGCGAGCAAAATCTCTGTTGTTTTAGCTTCGTTTTCGCTGAACTTCGGATATGTTGTAGCTGAGACAATGAGCTATCACAAGTGCGCCCTTTATATTTCGATTAGATGCCGGGATCATGCTCATATTTCACTTGCAAAGTAGGATTTCAGAATTCCATTTCCCGTTTACGTGTAATCGCTATGGGAAATGTTTTGGTATATCGGTAACGCACTTGACTTCCAATCTCGAGATCCCTGGTTCGAGTCCGGGTGTCTCCAACAATTTTTTTCTTCACTTTTTTTTCCTTTTGACCTTCACTGTACCATCTCCTTTGATTATTAAAACACGTAGAATCGCAAATAATGTCACAAACAACCCTTTTTACTTTATTAATACCCTATTTTCACTTAATCCATTACTTTTTGCGTGTAATCTCTATGGGAGATGACTTTTTCTCAAATCTGGAGTCTACATTCCTGTCTTTTGCGAGCAATATCGCCGTTATTTCTGCTTGGATTTTGTTGACTTTTGAGTAAGTTGTAGCTGAGACTATATGCTATCTAAATCAACCCTCATTTTTTCAATAAGATGTCATGATCGCGCTCATGATCATGATCATTATCATCATGATCATCATTATCATAATGATGATAATCATTTATCAATTACATTTTCATTTCTTTGAATAAGATAAAATCGTCAAAAGGTGTTCTTCATGATGTAAATTAGAGTCAAATGTGTAACTGGTTACTGCACAGGGTCAAAGGTCATATATTGTTTCAATCTATCTTCCCTAGATCCATGATGATCAAGGAGACACAATTTAATCTTGACATATGAATAGATCATAATGGGAGAAGCATATAAATGGGAGAAGCATTTTACAAAATAATATATCGTGTAATGCATTATTCGTTATGTATACCATTATCATACGTATCACCTAATTCGTCTAAGTGACGAATTAAAGTCTAGTTATTATTATTACCATTATCATCATCATTATTATCATTATTAATATCATCATTAATATCATTATTATTACTATCATTATTATCATAATCGTTATTTACATAATCATTTTGTTATTATGTAAGCTTACCTGTAGCAGTTACTCTGGAAGGCTGTCCACAGGGGAGGACACCCACACCCTCCGGCTTGGCAGCCCGGTAGGACAGGCAGCATCACAGCTGACGATGCGAACACCAAGATCGTGACTATCTTGTTGAACATTTTAGCTACAAATAAACGTCTGTCTTTTAGCAAGTGTTCACAGCAATATGAAAAATATGTGTTTTGAATATGATGGATGTTGGCCTGATTATGAGGAAATGTATTCCGATACTCAGAATCTATAGAAGGCTGAGCTTGTTTTGTTGTTTTTAATGTATACGCCCATTGAGTGTAAGTTTTCACATTTATGAAAAAAAAAGTTTTTGATATGACGGATGTTGGCACTAAGATAACGAAATGTATCCCAATACCGTCAGAATCTATAGAAGGCTGAGCTTGTTTCGTTGTTTTTAATGTATACGCCCATTAAGTGTAAGTTTTCACATTTATAAAAAACAAAGTTGTTAATATGACGGATGTTGGCACTAAGATAACGAAATGTATCCCAATACCGTCAGAAATCGTAGAAGACTGAGCTGGTTTCGTTGTTTGTAAACACCTACAAGAAGGAAATCCGCTCCGGGTTAAATGGACTAATTTTCTTTCTTTCTCTCTCTTCGTGTCTCTCTCTCATACATATATACACTCTCTCTATCTGGCTATCGTTCTATCTCTCTCCCTCTCGTCTCTCAAATATCCCTATCTCTTTCTTCACACATTCATAATTTAGGTCAAACTAATTTTCTACTTTGATTGGATTCTTAAAATGATACATCTGATTAGCCAAACATTTTGTAATCTTACAGGCAATTTTATTGTATTATGTCAACTTTGTGAAGGATATAAATGGGGTCGTTTACAAATGACTATTACCAAAGTAGTAGTTTACGCACATTACAAATATGGTATCTTACAAACATCACGATTTATGGTAGATTACACGCATTACCACTGTGATAGTTTTAACATTGTCATACCGTGGTAGTTTACACGCATTACCACTGTGGTAGTTTTAACATTGTCATACCGTGGTAGTTTACACGCATTGCCACTGTGGTATTTTAAACATATTACCAGTGTGGTCGATAACACACTTAACTATTGTGGTAGTTTACACGTAATCATACTGCGGTAGTTTACACATTTTACCACTCTAGTAGCTTGCACGTAATCATACTGTGGTAGTTTACATATATTACCACTGTAGTAGTTTACACATATTACCACTGCGGTAGTTTACACACATCAACCCTGTAGCAGTTTACACCCATTACCACTGTGGCCGTTCATATAGCTCCGTTTAGTCTCATTTGAGAACGCCCCCTATCGGCAGCCTGAGTGTCCAGCAGCCTAACATGTACGTTAGCCTATGGACTTTTATCCCCCAAAATCGTTAAAAATTCATTTTTTGTTTAAACGAAAAGCACATCCACCCCGACGTACGTTATCACTAGCTCTTTCATTGGAACCCTCATGTCCCATTGACTTTTGAAAGATCACCCACCGTAATTTGATCAAAATAAGTCGCAAGCTCGCCATTGCCTATATAACACATGTACAACAAGTCGAACTTTGGACTCAATTTACCACGCGATTGTAAGGTTATAAGTGAAGCACACGAAGGATAAGAAGCATGAATTATCATAGATCAGTTCTGATTTGTTCATTATGTCCCTTTCATCCAACTCCCCACCGTAATTTTTCCATTTATTATAGACAAGCAATTTGCCGAGGTAAGCAAAAACATGAATATTCATGAACACCATGGACTATTCAATTATTAACAGAGGGGTGCAATTGTGCACCACATCAAACTCCCCTACTATTAGTCAAGTATTTCATTGTATTATGTAGTTTGGTAGGTTTATTTTACTAACTGTTTAATTATCAGATATCAATGATAGTTGAAAGATATGGAAAAGATTCTTGTATTTTATTTTTAGCTAAGCGATCTCACATACAATATCACTATCAAGTGTCGTCTGATCCGCCGATTGCCGTCTGCTATATACGCGAAGTAGCTACGTTTGTGCTGGCGAAAATGAGACAACCGGAGTAATATGTACACATATCACTACTATAATACTTTAAACTCATTCCCACTGTGGTAGTTTACAAATATTACTGATAAAGTCGTTTACACACATTACTACTGTGGGCGTTTACTCATATAACCACTGTTGTAGTTTACACACATCAATACTGTGGAAGTTTACACCTATCACCACAGTGGTCGTTTACACACATTCCCACTATGGTAGTTTACCCATATAATTACTATAATACTTTAAACACATCAACATAATGGTAGCTTTAAAAAAAATACACACATTGCCACTGTGGTAATTTACACATATATCCATGTTTCCATATATCTTTTTTCTTTTTGTATTATCATCTACGACCCGATGTTGACTTTGTCTCTCTATATCTTTTTTTCACTGATCTACCCACCTCCTCTGCCTACCTTCTTTGGTCCTCTTCAACTCTCTCGCTCTGTCGGAATCGTGATGCCGAAACTTATGTCATGTAACTTATCCAACTAAAGCTATTGTGAATTTAGTTTACCATTACTTCAACTGTTTATGATTATGATTATTTATTGATCTCTGTATTAACTTTTAACAAAGAAAAATAAATTTCCGAATGGACGATATATAATTAATTTCAATTTCCATTTCAAATTCAATTTGTGGTCACTAACACACATTACCACCGTGGTCGTTACACACATTACCACTGTGGTAGTTTACACACATAAGCTCTCGCAACGAATCCACTGTCACCGTGCGCATCACAAGCTAGATCATTCCACGTATTTCCGTTGGACGAGTGAAACTCGGCGCAGTCCTGGCCTCCTAGAGCGCTGTTAGGCTGTCCGCTCTCCCAGATCTCATAGTCTAGGCTCGAGCCGTCACTCCATTCCCAGCTAGCTTCCGTAGTCTGGTCATGCAGACCGATCCATACCCTGGGGTCTCCTGCCTATATGCAAAGAAGTGTGCGGCATTTATTTAACAGAGAATAAAGCAAGAAAAAGGGATGGGGAAACAAGCAAAGAAAGAAAGCTTTTAGAGAGTGCCTTGTTTACATATTAATACCTATAAATCAAATACAAATATGAAAAATGGGGAAGAACAACAAATGATGGCAATCAAATGGGCCTATGGAAAATTACCATCATGCCTTAATGCACGAATTATTTTAGAATATGAAGAATATTTTATTATCACAAGAAAAAATAAAATATATGTATAACAGATAAACGATTTGAAATGAGGTTCATTCCCCTATTCGATTTGATCGCCATTTTGAAATAGATTTTGATTTTAGAATTAACTAGCCCTGATTAACACACTTCTTTCTCGTTACTCGCTTGCATGGACTGTACCTCTGCTTATTTTTGATCATACGTCCGTTTACAGGATCATTATAGAAGTCGTATTTGTTTCAATCTTGCCATTTCATTATCAATAATGAATCCATGCAGATCGGTGGCTAACATGAAATTTGATGCTTAAGTGATATCTTACATGATGTACAAAGAGAAACAAATATTGAAATCATCCCTGATTACGTAATCACAATATAGGGGTATATACCAATGTCTAAAAAAAAATGTAAATTTTTGCTTTGAAGGTGTCCTTTTTCCCCAGAAAGTGCCCTTTTTTTATGATGCCCTCCCACTTTGAAAGTCGCTCCTCCGCCTCTGCCTTTATCTTTACTCATAATCCATTTCCCTTTCTTTCCGGAATTTCTTCACCTTTCTCTTCTATGTACAAGAGTACCTTACACAAACTTATTCTTAATGAGATTTACGCCCTCTTCCTTTTATAGTAAGTTACTATGCATTTTAAACCCATTTACATCATTATAACGTTATTTGAATACTTTGTAAATGTGAGAAAAAAAATGGAAGAAATTAAATTCTTCTTTGAACAGAGAAGGGAAATGCAATGCTTACCAATTTATCACGGATGCTTTCGTAAAGCACCGAAATAAAGGTCATCTCTTCTTTCGAATGGATAGAAGTGAGATGTCCAAGACTAGAGTCAAAATCAGAACAAGGAACGGAGAAACCAGAGCAGTGCTTCTCAGCTTCATGCCAAGTAATGTTTTTCACCGAGAAATACCTAGCGAGAAATTAGGAAGATGACAATATTCCAAATGAATCTGAAAGAATTTTGTTCTAAACTTACAAATTTAAATCTGAAATAGTGTCAGAAGAATACACTGCCTTTTAAGAAGGCGTTCACTTGTTTCACTTGCTTCACTTGCTCATATTCTCCTAAAACTGAATCTTTATCATGCCCGCTCAGCAAGAATCACGAAAACACTTAAGTTTGAAGAAGAAAAAAAGTATAACATTATAGTGCCAGAACTCTACCCTTGTATTGGCAAGCTTGCTGCTCCCGTCTTACTGTAATCATATATAACAAGATACATGTTCATAAAAAAACGAGATAGAGAACAAAGAAATCAGCGGTAAAATAATAAAATATGAATAAAAACACATGAAATGATGTAGTGAGTATACTTAAGGCCCGGTCACACAGCCTTTCGCGTCTGTATCGCGGGTAAAATTTCGCGATTTTTTTTTTTGCCCGCGGTTGCCCGTGGTGGAAAATGTGCAAAATTGGCTTACCCGCGGTTTACCCGTGGTATGCCCGCGGAACAGACGCCGGCGACTGTTCAGCGTCCTTATCGCGGGTAAAGCGCGGCGGTACCGCGGCCTACCACGCTTACACGCGGTACACACGCTAATGCACGTGATAACAACGCGGTACAGACGCGGAACAAACGTGCTATGACCGTGCTCCACCCGCGATTACCCGCTAAAATTTCGCGTCCAATTCCGCGTGTAACCACGTCTTAACCGCGGCCGTAGCACGTCCTAGCACGTTCGTTCCGCGTCTGTACCGCGTCTTTACCGCGTGTGTAACACGTGTACCACGTGTACCGCCCGCGATTACCCGCGGTCTAAATTTTTGGGCAGCCCAAAACTTTTTCGCGCGGCCAACCGCGTGTGAATTTCTTACCGCGTGTAACGACGGGTAAAGTACGGCTGTATCGCGTCTTTATCGCGACCTCAAAGCGTCCAACAGCGTCTGCTTCACGGGCAGAAATTTTTGGCCGTGATTCGGCCGCGATACGCCCGTGGAGGGCTGTGTGACCGGGCCTTTAGGGGTTTTGGAATAAACAAATTCATAAATTAGCCATATCCAAAAGCAGAAAAAGCAAATGCACTGTACACGGAAGTGGTCATATGGGGCTTCACACGCT